AGTTCAAGGTCACCCTTGACTACCTGAGATTGAATCTGTCTAAAAGAGAAACTGAACTCAAACAAAGGTAATTTCCAGCACTTGGGTTCACATGTCTTTAATTCCCAGAACTAGGGAGTTAGAGACAGGAGTGATATGGCTGGGCCGAGAGAGGAATATAAGATTGGAGGAAAGAGGAGCTCATTGCAGTCTGAGGTTTCATAGAGACAGCATTCAGTCTGAGGGTTTGTGGAGACAGGACCGCCCCTTCAGTATGAGCATTGGTAGAGGTAAGAACTCTCTGGTGTCTGACCTGCTTCTCAGATCCTTCAGCTTTCACACCTGCTAGCTGATTCTGGTTTTTCATTATTAAGGCCAATTAGAATTAGTGCTACATAGCCTGATCTAGAGTGATCTAGAGGACAGGCAGAGATACACAGAGAAACCCTGATTAGAAAAACAACAACAAAAACAAACAACTTACAAAAAAGAATGTGTTCTTCCTAGTTCTGGAGGCAAGCAAGTCTGGAATCAGGGTGTCAGCAAAGCTGTTTTTTCTGGTGTCTCACAACTTCAAGACTTGAGGAAGTACCTCCTTGCTGCTTCTAGATGCCAGTGGTTGCCTGCCATCCAATTAATGCCTGTCTTCATATGATGTGTGTGTGTGTGTTTCCTTGTGTTTCCTTAAAAGAAGACTGGTGAGTTGGCTCAGCACTTAAGAGAACTTACCATTTTCACAGGTGATCTGGGTTCAGTTCCCAGCACTCACATGGCAGCTCACAACCATCAGTAGCTCCAGTTCCAGGACGTTTGACTCCCACTTCTGACCTCCACAGGTACCAGCCACGCATGTGGCGCACATACATGATTGCAGGCAAAACACTCATATACATAAAATAAATAAACCTAAGAAAAGAATGCTGATCACCTTGGTTTTAGGGTTAATACCCTCTCTAATCCAGTATGGCCTCATCTTTATCTGATGGGCAGTTCCAAATTAAATGTGGAATTTGGAAAACTGTAAGACTCAGAAAAGAGCACTCCAAGAGATGTCCAAATTAACTAAGTTATCCCAGGCTGGAGAGATGGCTCTATCAGTAAAGTGTGTGCTGAGCAAGCATAAGGACCTACGTTCAGAGATCTTCAGTACCCACAGAAAGCTGGGTGTAGCTGCATACATTCGTTAGCTCAGCACTAGGAAGGAGAAAACAGGCTCACTGAACAGTCAGCCTAGGCAGCTGATGAGCCTCCAGGTTCAGTAATATACCCTCTCTCAAAATACAAGGTCGAGAACAATTGGGAAGTACACAAGACTTTGGTCTCTGGCCTCCACACACATACCTTAACACACATGTTTTCAGGCTTACACAAATGTGTACAGATTTATATACCACCCACATACACACATGAGAGAATCTGAGTTCATTTATATATTAATATTTAAACTAATAATATTGATTTAACTATATTATATAAAACTGACAGACAAAATACATTTTACCTAATAAACTTATTTTTATTTGAAGTTATTCCACATGCTTGTATTTCTACTGTGTGGGCCTAGGATAGCTGGTTTCCATTCATATAGCAGAAATTGCATTAAAGAATTTTTAGTGCTAAAATGCCTATTTACATGTAATATACATTTATATAGAGTTGGGACCAGAATCCACTTTACCTATTAGCCCATATTATAACTAATATGATATAATAAGAGAGGTTTTAAAAACTATTTACCTTAGAATGTAACTTGAAATGGTCTTATTTTGTGTCCATAATACCTGGGAGCAGCTGATACTGACTTAATGAATGAAGCATGAATGAAAGAAGACTGTGTATGTTTCCATTGAAATGTCATTAGGACATTAGCAAATAGCCTATCACCTCTTCAGAAAGGCAGTCTGTGGTCCTCCATAGTGTTCTGTAGCCTGCTTTTCTACAGTACATCATTCTGTAGTAGGGAGGAGTCCCTTGTGTAGACACTACATGACTTGCTTAGCTGGTTTCTTTTTTAAAAACTTATAATTGTGGTAAAAATACAAATAATATAAAATTACCATTCTAATATCTGAAGACATGCTCATGTAACAGCCCAGGCTGGCCTTAAACTTACCACATAGCCAGCAATATCTTTGAACTCCTGATCTTCCTGACTCGGCCTCCCAATAACTTGCATTATAAGTGTGTGTGGCCATATGTCTTAATTGGGGTTTTTATTGCTATAAAGAGACACCATGACCATAGCAACTCTTATAAAAGAAAACATCTAATTGGAGTGGCTCGCTTACAATTCAGTAAGTTTCATCCATTATTGTTATGGCAGAGGCAAGGCAGTATGCAGGCAGACATGATGCTGGAGAAGGAGCTGAGAGTCTTTACATCTTGACTCACAGGCAGCAGGAAGTGGTCTCAGACACTGGGTGTGATTGAGCATATAAGAGACCTCAAAGCCCACCTCCAAGAGTGACACTTCCTCCAACAAGGCCACACCTACTCCAACAAAGGCACACCTCCTAATAGTGCCACCCCCTATGGGGGCCATTTCCTTTCAAATCACCATAGCCATCTTAACCATTTAAAGTTTATTTATTTATGTTATTTATATATATTTAATGTTTAATCTCCGTGTATATGTATGTATATATGTATGCATGTATGCCATTTGCATGTCTGGTGCCCGCAGATGCTTGAAGAGGGTGTTGAACCCCCTGAAATTGAAATTACAGCTGGATTTTAGCTATCGTGTAGGTGTGTGAACCAAACCTGGGTCCTCTGCAAGGACAGCAAGGGCCCTTAACCACTGAGCTCTCTGTCTAGCCCCATCTTAACTATTTTTAAGAATATACTTTGGGGCCATTGAGGTGGCTCAGCAGGAAAGGCGTCCACCACTAAATCTTCTAAAATCCAGGACCCATACGGCAGAAGGAGAGAACTGATTCCCACCAGCTGTCTCTGATCATCACATGTACACCATGCTACATGCACATACACACACACACACATACACACACAAAGTAAATATGCAAATAGTTTTAAAAAGGGAAAGAGAAACTAAAGAGTAAGTATGCTTTGGTACTTTGGTGTTATTAAGTATATTTACATTGTTTTGCAATCAAGTCTCCAAAATTTTTCGTCTTGCAAAACTGTAACTGTAGTTGGCCCTCCATATCAATAGGTTCTGCATTCCCAGGGTCAGCCAACTTCTTTCTTGTCATTATTCTCTGACCAGTACAGTAGTATAGTATTTACTACTACTGTATCAAGTTGTTTATGTATCAAGTTGTCTAGAAATGACTTAGAGTAAATAGGAGGGCACAAGTCAGTTGTATACAAATACCAAATTTCTTTTTTTATAATGAACTGGCACACCTACATATTTTAGAACCCTTCTGCAAACCAATCTTCCGTAGATAAGGAGGTCCACCATGTCCATTACAGAATAATTTCTTATTGGCTCAGTCCCTAGCAACCACAGATCTACTTTGTTTCTATGAGTTGGGGCTAGCCTCCCTCTGATTCCTGGCGTTCTTGCAGTGTTGCAGTGGACAGCCTGTGGGCATGCCATTTTCACATAGTTAAGCATATCTATAGAGTGGAGTCCTAGAAGTGAAGTTACTAGGTAAAAGGTTTGACTCTTCTAAAGGTTGCATTGTTTGCAAAAGTGAGTGTGTTAGTCACTGTTTGGTTGGTGACCAAGGCATCTCTTGTAAGAGAAAGCTTTTAATTGGGGACTTGTCTACAGTTTCAGAGGTTTAGTCTGTTATCATCATTGCAGGTAGAGCATGGTGGCCCTGCAGGCGGGTACTGTAGCTATAGCTGAGATCTGAACCATAAGCAGAGAGAGACAGCCTGGGCTTGGCATGACTTCTTGAAATCTCACAGTCCACCCTCAGTGACACACTTACTCCAATAAGGACACAATCTTCTAATCCTTCTGAAATGGTGCCACTACCTGGTGACTAAGCATTCAAATATACGAGTCTGTGGGTACTGTTCTTATTCAAACCAGCACAAGAGTTTCCTTTAGAATTCATGTAAAAAGCCAGACAGATGTGATTGCTACCTGTAATCCCAGAACTCAGCAAGCAAAGAAAGAGTCCGTGGAATAAGATAGCTTCTGAAACTAGCTGGAATTCGAGAGCTCCAGATTTAGGAGAGACCCTACCTCAATAATTAAAGTAGGAAATGAGACTAAAGAGACTTCCTTGCCTACCAGATGTTAACAAGATGGGTAATAAAACCTAGAGAAGTTTGTCTGTGCACATTCCTTCCTCTAGATGTGTGCCAAGACTTCTGAAGTGCCTACCAGACAAGGAAGGCCAGATAATGGTGGGGAAGATTAGTGTTTCCATGACCAACCACAAGAATGGCATGTTTTAGTTTCTGTCACCTGCCCTAGAGAGGCAGGTTCTGAGTGAGAGACCTTACAGAATAACTAAAATGGATAGAGCGTATCATTTTAGTAACATCTCAGTGATGATGTAGTTTGGGGGGTTTGTAAGTAGAAATACGCTGAATTTCTTCCATGAATATTTATCTTACGATAATTTCTATTTTCTTTCTTTTTTTTTTTTCCATTTCTGGCTTTTTGAGATAGGGTTTCTTTGTGAAGCTTTGGCTGTCCTGGAAAGAAGCAGGGTGGTCTCAGACTCACAGAGATCTTCCTGTCTCTGCCTCCCAAGTGCTGGGATTAAAGATGTGTGCCACCAGCGTGGGTTTATCATCACCTCTTGTCTGTTTTCCTATTGGTAAACATCTAAATTGTTATAAACACCTTTTATACCTGTAATTTTAGCTATTTGGATAAGGTAGGATAAATAAAAAATACTACCACCTTATATTATAATGGGACTAATATTTTGGGACTCTAAAATGTTGTCAACATTGTGACTTTCATAGAAAATAAACCGAGTTCCAATCTTTTAAAAGACATCATTAATGTCTACCATTTTTTTTAAATAAAAGATCTCTGGTTACATGACAATCTTTAAAATGACAACTTGAAATGTTTATTCTTACAGTGATGGAATGGGGGGAAGATATTAAAGCAATTTCTAATGATGAAGCAGTGATGTTGGTGAACCACCAGGCAACTGGAGATGTGTGTACCTTGATGATGTGCCTACAAGACAAAGGACCGGTAAGCAGTTTTGTTGCCTCGGCAGATAGCCTTCAGGGATGGACTTAGAAGCATTGATTCAAGTATCTCATTGTTTAAAACATAGATGTAGATTTAATGTGACAACTATAGTTTTCAGTCACTCAGTTACTTCCTTCCCCAGGAAGGAAATGTAAAGACTTTAAAAGATAGTGTCTAGTGTTGATTGATAAACCAGTGTTTGAACTGTTGATTTCACATTACTTATATTGATGATTAAACATAATCAACAAATTGAGTACATTTAAAATATGTTTGGCCTCTATCATTCAAAGAATTATTACCTGAGAAGTTAAAGAAATTATGTTTCTAGAAAAACATATTAATAATATATAGACTATAGGAGTTTGTATTTGACCCTAAACTAAGTAAACCGAATGATAGATGTCCACTGATTGCCTAATGGTCCTGATGAATGACTGTAAGAAGTAAATACTCATTGATAGCGGTGGTCACACCTTTAGTTCAGCGCTCGGGAGGCAAAGGATCTCTATGAGTTTGAGGCCAGATTGGTCTACAGAGGGAATTTCAGGGCAGCCAGGTCTATGTAGACAGACCCTGTCTCAAAAACAAACAAGAAGTAAAGACTCAATCTTCTTTCCAGGAGCCAGCCAGTATTTGAGAGTGAGCTCGCCATGTACCTGGAGAACACAGGCTACTCTGCAGAGGAACGAGCACACATTCTTAGCTTTCAGTGTTAGGTAGAATTTAGTTAGGCCGCCTCTAGTGAAATGGTTTTGGCAAAACCTGAGGTAAGGTAAGAATCAGCATAAGGTTTAAAAAGTTTTGAATCACCAGATAAAGTCAGAAAATGAGGTGAAATTAAAAGAAAATATATTTAGTTATTGCATAATCTGTTTTTCTTATCTGAAAAGCAGGGGTGTAATCTTGCTGGAATGTGAAATAAATTTAATCCTTATAATCAAAGTCTCAGACTGTTAAAGAAAACCTGCTGCTGTGTGGATGCATTTGTTCTTACAATAAATGCATTGCTTCTTAAATTCATAACGTAAAACTGTGTGTTTGGGGCGGTGGAAAGGCAAATATCCAATTAGCCAACATTTTTAGTCTCACTGATAATGGTAATTACATATAACAATTATTTTGAAAGCATGCAATGTGCTTGAGTGGCCTTAATTCTCCAAGAGTAACTCAAATGATCAGTATAAAATGTGCCGTGTTCCAGTGCCAGTTAGCTGAGGACAATAACTGAATAATAACTTAATGTTAGGTAGTCATGTGAACCAAAGGAAGCTTGTTTTGTTTGCTTTTGTAAGATTTGAATTAATTTAATTGCCTGTCCTGAGTAATTCTTTATGTTTATTTTATTTCTACATTTATGTGTTTGTGTGGATGTATGTCACATGTGTATAGGTACTGGTGGATGCCCGAAGAGGGTATCTAGTCCCCTGAAGCTAGTTACTGAGGGGGGCACTGAGAATCCAAGAGGGTCCTCTGCCAGACAGCAAGTACTACTAACCACTGAGCCATCTCTCCAGCCTCCCCTAGTAATTTTGTATAATTCTCTGATATTATCAAATAATTTGAAATCTAGACACCTTTTAAAACTAGTTTCATAGGAGATCATTTTCAACTCTTATAGTTTTTAATTATTTCCTCTTGCTTTATAAGCAGGAGTCAATATTAGTTTATATTGACAAGTAGAAATATTTATTTGAGGGCTGGAGAGATAGCTCAGAGGTTAAGAGAAATATTTATTTGATTGATTACTTATCCCATAGTCACTCAAAGATAGAATTGTAGATCAGTTTAAAAATACCTCTTTGGGGCTGATGATATAGTTCAGTGGATAAAGATATTTGCTGCCAAACCTGGTGCCTTTGTCAGGGTTTCTATTGCTTTGAAGAGACGCCATGACCACGACAACTCTTATAAAGGAAAACATTTAATTGGGGCTCGCTTACAGTTCAGTAAGTTTCATCCATTATTGTCATGGCAGAGGCAAGGCAGTATGCAGGCAGACATGATGCTGGAGAAGGAGCTGAGAGTCTTTACATCTTGACTCACAGGCAGCAGGAAGTGGTCTCAGACACTGGGTGTGATTGAGCATATAAGAGACCTCAAAGCCCACCTCCAAAAGTGACACTTCCTCCAACAAGGCCACACCCACTCCAACAAAGGCACACCTCCTAGTAGTGCCACCCCCTATGGGGGCCATTTCCTTTCAAACCACCATAGGTGATGACCTGAGCCCTATCCCCAGGACCCACATGATAAAGGAAAGAACTGACACCTAAAAATTGTCCTCTGACCTCCATACATGTATGCTTATGTGCGTGTGCACACAGTGAGAGAGATAGAGAAGGGGTTGATATGAACTATCTTCTTCATTTACCTTCACTTTCCTCTTTGAGACAGGGTCTCTCACTGACCAGCCCCTTGGACCGTATCTGTCCTTCCCCAGCACTGGGGTCATGAGCACTCTCCACACGTGGCTTTGACATGAGTGCTGACACCCTACTGAGCCATCTCCTCATCCCCTATTCTCTCATCCATGTGGGGCCATCTAGTCTAGGAAAGGTGGTGGTCGTCTCACTGGATGTTTCCTTTGGACCTTTGTGTTGCCTTGACAGGGTTCCTCTGTGTAGCCCTTACTGTCCAGGAACTTGCTTTGTAGACCAGGCTGACCTCAAATTCACAGGGATCCACCTGCCTCTACCTCCCGAGTGCTGGGATTAAAGGCGTGTGTCACCACCAGGCCAGTTTTAGTTTGATTTATTTTTAAAGATTTATTTATTTATTATGTATACAGTGTTCTGTCTGTATGTTTGCAGGCCAGAAGACAGCACCAGATCTCATTATAGATGGTTACGAGTCACCATGTGGTTGCTGGGAACTGAACTCAGGACCTCTGGAAGAGCAGTCAGTGCTCTTAGCCTCTGAGCCATCTCTCCAACCCTAGTTTGATTTTTTTTTTAATGTGTGCTTATGACTTAGTGTTCTAACACTAGGAATCAAGACCTGTTATTTTTCATATAAACTCTATTAGTAACTACTGAGTTTGTAGAAATAGCATTAAATTTAAAATATTTACAACACTAAATGGACTCAGCAGGTTGGTTTATATACACATATGCGTATATATGTAATAGTAATAATAAAAGAAGAGATTATGAACTTTGGAGGGAGTAGGGAGGAGTTTGAGGAGTAGAAATTATATAAATGCATAAGAAATTGTCCAAAGAATAAAAAATATTTAGTCACTAATTAAAATGGATGATTATATTGAAAATATGGAAACTTGGCTAGATAGTAGCAAGTTTCTCATCTCCAACACTGAATTAACCATGTCTTGTATTTCAATATTTCAGGTTGTCGCTCAGATGATGTGGCTGATGGATCATATTTTCAAGTACACAAACTTTGGGATTGTTTCTCTGATTCATGGGGACTTTTTTATAAGGCAGGTGAGTGACGCACATTGAGACGGTGGACCTGAGTGTCCGCTGTGACAGAAGACACAGCAAAACTGTTGGGCTAAGAGGGCCCAGTTCTCAGGTCTGGGGTGCTTCCCACTTTGGATGTGTATGATCCAGCACCTGCCGCTTCCCTGCTTCTCATCTCCCTCAACAGTTGTGGGATTAAGTGAAGTTAACCATGCAAAGCATCCAAAGCAGTGCCTGCTGCTCCCTCATGAGCATTTTATCATGGACGCGCTGACAGTGTCGAACTTCTGCTATTACTGTTGTTTCCAGTGTCCTGTTTGTGCTACCAGAGATAACTCGGTTATCAGGAGGGAGATTTTGTTTTTTCTTTTTTGGTTTTTTTCTGAGACAGAGTTTCTCTGTGTATCCCTGACTGTCCTGGAACTCACTATGTAGACCAGGCTGGCCTCGAACTCAGTTATCCACCTGCTGCCTCCTGAGTGCTGGCATTAAAGGTGTGGGCCACCACCACCTGACTGGAGATTTTTAATCAGTAAATATAATAATAATAATAATAATAATAATAATAATAATAATAATAATAATAAATGTTGAGGGAATTCATAGTAAGACAAGTGAGTACATCAGATTTTTGTAAATTCAGAAAATGTTTGGAGGAGAACATAATTTTTGGCATATGTATCAGATGAGTGGCGGTGATGTGGGAAGGGGTGTGTGTAAGCTCCAGGAATGGTCATGTAGGGCGACAATCACAGCCTCTTCCCCAGTCAGCAGGCCTTGCCATGTAGCAGCTAGCATCACACACAAATTCCTTCCAAAGCAGGGAAGCATCATATGTAAACATGTCTGTGGATAGCGAGGCCATGGTTCCTCCGTGTTCGTGTACTTAACTACTCTGCTTTATTATATGATTCTGTGTATGTGTTACTTAATACCATAAGTAAAATAAATCCTGTCCCGAGGAACCACAAATTCAGACATAAGCTGAAGTAAGGTAGAAAGCACAGAGGCAAGCAGCAGAAATCTGAGCAGCCTGTAGAGGGTCCAGCGTCCAGCCAGCCAGTCCCTTCCCTGCCTCACGCATCAAGAGTCTAGTTCCAGTTTGCCCTGGGGGTAAAAATGAACAAGTGTGTCCTCTAAAATCTTTTCCACTTAATGACAGTCAAAGTTTTGAATCCATAAGGTCTATTTCAGAGTAACTGAAAGTTCATTTCTAAAAAAGCAACATTTTCCCCTCAGAGATTAGCAGTAAAATTCCGTAACATGGGAGTGAGTGGTAGAAAAGGTGTTAGTTTAGTGAAATGTGTTGTGGATGCCTGTAATCCCAGCACTTAGATACAGAGGTGGGGAGGGGCAGTGAGACCCTGCTCAAAAGAAAGAAAAAAGTTAATTTTTTTTTAAAATTTTTCTTGGGACTTTTAACAAAATCTAATAGTAAAAGTATATATCTATATGTATATATGTGTGTGTGTATGTGCATATATATGTATTTTATCTATATAAGTTTTATATTTATATACAGTATTAGAAAATTTAAAAGCTATCTTAGTCATAATCTTAATAAGCTAGTTTTAAGAGTCTTTGTTTTTAAATTTGTGATATATTTAATGTGAAGGCAGGAAGCTCATTCATTATTGTAGGAACTTTGTAACTATGCCAACTGAACCACACCAAGAGGGAATAGCCTTCTGATACTAATTAGAAGTTGGGACCTTCCAGTAGATTTGTCTGGCTGTCCATTTTCAGCCTCCAGACCATCCTGTCTCTTCTCTCAACAACTAAGATCCAGTTCATCCTATGGTCCTGCTGTCTGCTTCCAGGGATTTCCTGCTTCTATCTTCTTCTTCTTTTTTTTTTTTCAAGAATACACTCTATCTAGCCTAATGTGGTCAGCTCCCTAGCTCACCTCCAGTGGCCTTTCTTTTAGCCCACAAGCCAGGATTTGGCTGCTGCACAGAGTTGGGCTCACCTGTAATATAAGAAAGATGCTACATCCCTTCCTCAAACTCTCTAGTGATTCTGCATTTAAAGCAGGCTTATTGCTGTGGTGACTGGAGAGAAAGCTGAGCAGGTAAGAGACCTCACTGCTCTTGCAGAGGACCGGGATTGATCCCAGAGCTCAAGTCAGACCGCTCACAACCACCTATGACTCCAGTTGCTGGAGATCCAACACTATCTGGCCTCCTTCCCCGAGCATTTGTAGACAAATGGTGTATATAAGTTCGCTCTCTATCTCTGTCTCTCTCTCTCTTTCTGTCTCTCTCCTCTCTCTCTCTCTCTCTCTCTCTCTCTCTCTCTCTCTCACACACACACACACACACACACACACACACACACACTTATAAAACAAACAAAAATCTGTAAAACCTACCACCATGCCTGAGGCCCTTTCTTTCTGGTCTCCTCTAATTTTGTCACCTACCCCTCTTGTGTCCTGTTGGCTAGGGCCCTGCTCTTTCTGGATTGTTTTTAAAAACATGGTCTGAGACTCATAAGGTAAACTAGGATAGTCTTAATCTCACAGAGAGCCACCTGCCTCTGCCTGCCAGTGCAGGGATTAAAGATGCGTGCCCAACACCAGGCCCCAACATATCAAGCGTGTTCCCACCTTGGACCTGTATCTTTTTTGGCTCTTGTCACTTGGAGCATCCTGCCTTCCTTCTTTGTGTGGCTTATTCCCTCATGTTATCTGTTAGTTATTTGCTTCCATCAGCTCGCCTTGCTCCTCCTGATCTCCTCCTCCTTCTTTCCTTCCTAAAACATATCCCCCAGTGGGGTTTGTACTCCACACTCAGCACTTTCCCAAGTGTGTCCTGTGTACTCCCGTTTCTGGTGTTGTGACTGCACGTGGCAAATAGTAGACACTTCCTGTGTGGCCACCAGCCTGCTGAACTGCTCTTTCCCCAGGAAGAAGTTCCTCTGTGTAAGTCCGAGCAGTTCCTTGCCCTTTACCACAACAGTCAAAAAGAAATAATTGGGGGAAACCACTGTTCTGTCCTGTGGTTGAATTCCAGTTTTGAAGCAATTGTTCCTTCTTAATCTTGGGGTATTTTAACTTCAGCTGTGCCTGTCCTTACTGTGTGTGTGTCTTCTAGG